ACCCCAAAACCCCAAAACCCCAAAACCCCAAAACCCCTTAAAAATTATCCACGACTGAAGAATAATATATTAAATTTATGGAGAAATCAAAGATGAGCCTTAAAAGCGGCATGAAGTCAAACTTGAACAGAAAGGCTCGAGAATTTAAGCCAAAGGCGAAGACTGGAGTTCCTTCAGGAGGCCCTTCTTTGCCTCCTCCTATGGTGGCTCAGACTCCTCCTATTGTTGGTCCAGGAATGCCACCTATTGTTACAGCTCTTGGACAAAGTGCCAAAATAGTGCTTCCTTCACAAGCTCCTATTGCTGCCCCTCCTACTGCTGCTCCTACTGCAGTCCCTCCATCAATGAAGACTGCTTTTCCACCAGGTATGGAATGAAAATTTGAGAATGGAAAACTAATAATCCCTGATGCTGTCCCAACAGGTCTTAGGAAAATGCTAGAACAAGCTCAAGAAGAAGGGAAATTTGATGAGATGATAATGGCGAGTTTGGGGAAAACTAGACCAAAACCTGCCCAAGAAGAGTACTACCTAACACCAGAGGAAGAGATGATGGCTGAGCAGTTCCTTCTTGAACAACAAGCAATGGAGCCTTGTCCCTTCTTCCTTCAAGGAAACTGTAAATTTGGATCTTCTTGTGATTTGTTCCATCCAATTGGTATGGAAGACATCACAGGAAGTATTGACTTTGAAGGCGATCAAGAATGATGCATCTGTAATGAAATGATTCTTGCTAATAATAGACAATTTGGATTATTAGATGGATGCCAACACGCCTTCTGTTTAGAGTGTATTAGAAATTGGAGAGCTACTTATATTAAAAGAATGAGCAAGGAACAAATGAGAGCTTGCCCGCTCTGAAGACAAACCTCTTACCTTGTAATCCCAAGCAAAGTTTACATTCCCAGTGGAGACACAAAGACACACCTAATTGAAGAGTATCAGTCAGTATTGAGCGATATCCCATGCAGACATTTCAATTATGGTAAAGGAGAATGTCCATTCCTTAATAGTTGATTCTATGCTCATTATACCAAGGATGGAAAGAAGTTCGATTACTCTATCAAGGCCAAATACTTAAATGAAGATGGAGAAATTGTCACCGAAAAAGAAGATGAGCAATGTACCTTAGCTGACTTAATTGGGTTGTAATAATTTAACTATTAATTGGAACTTAAAATGGGGTTTTGGGGTTTTGGGGTTTTGGGGTTTTGGGG